GATGAACGTGCGCCTTGAAGCGGAAGATCGTATGGATGAACTGTCAGATTTGGTCAATGTCATGGCATTGTAATTTTTTTAAATACAGATTCATTTCACTTCAAATTTGTATACCTATGAATTTCTGCCTGCACTTATTACCGACCAGAGGTAGTACTTGTCAAATAAATATACTTTATTGAAGCTATGAAAATATCAAAATAGCAAGGTTATCAGGACTCAAAGTCAAGACGTGGGCCAATTATTGCGTCGTCGCGAGGACGGCAACTTGAACTCGTTCGTCAAAAAGAGATGAGCGTGGAAACAATCTCTCGCGGCGTCGGCGCTTCGGACCACATCGTGCACGACTCTCAACAGCTGACAGCGCACCTGCCGACGGCGGAGACCCATGCGACATTGTACAAGAGCATGGTGTCGGGGGCGGTAGCCGGCATGGTGACCGATTCCGTGCTGTTGCCATTCGACACTGTCAACCTACGCATCAAGGTGCAGATGGTGCAGCCGCACAAGTACACGGGCATCGCCCATGCGTGGAAGACCATTCTTCGTGAGGAGGGCGTGGCCGGTTTCTTTGGTGGCCTGGGCACAACCCTCAAGATGGCACCAATCAATACGGCAGTGTACTACACAGCATACGAGTTTGCCAAGACAACGGTGCGTATGTCTACCTGCTTGAAGCGCCGAAATTTCCATCTCATGGAGCAGTTCTGCATTAGATTGCATCCCGTGTGTCCAAGGAGCACGAGCCCGTCGCGTTCTTCGCAGCTGGAGCCTTCAGCGAGCTGTGCAGCTCCATCACGAACGTGCCGACAGAAGTACTCAAGGCCCGGATGCAGCTCGGTCGCAATCCGAACAATGCGTCTGGTGGATGGATGAAGGAGACTACAAACTACCGTGGCACGGTGGACGCTGTGCGTTCCATTGTTCGGACCGAAGGTATCGTTCACTCAGCCATCCGATCGCCTGGCCTCACTCATTCTTAGGACTCCGTGGGTTGTACTCTGGTTATGGCGCATGCCTCGCCGTCGATGCGTCCTACTCAGGATTTGCCTTTTTGTTTTATGAAATGCTCAAGCAGTACCATCGGTATGACCAATGCTTGTTCGTGTCCTGCAAGTGTTGTCGGCGTTCACCCTGGTGTAGGGACACCTTCGAACGATCTCCCTCCCCCGCGGAAACAACCTGCATTGGCGGGATTGCGGGTGGCGCGGCCGCATTCCTGACAAACCCTCTCGATATTATCACACTCCGCCTTATGACCCAAGGTAACACATCCGTCCCGACAGGGATGCATTTGGTCGATATCGCTCATTGCCGACCTCGTGGTAGGCAACTCAAACCGGTATCGCGGCTTGGTCCATTGCTTGCACAAGTCGCTAGCTGAAGAAGGCATTTCGATCGTCTGGAAAGGATCGGCGTGTCGAATGATGAGCGTTATTCCTGGCACGGGCATCTCCTTTGGCGTGTACGAAACAGTCAAGGCCATGCTGATAGAGGAAGGCGAAGACTTTTAAACCATACTAACTTATGAACCACCACCGGGTGTTGTCTCCAAGTGCCAGTGAATCCAATTATCGGACGGTAATCTCTTCTTGGATTTACAATTCGATCATGATGAAAACCATTATCGAATTGTAATTTTGTCATTTATGTAAGTAGTCGAAGGAGCGCTCATTATGCTGTTGACAGTGAATACTTATAACGTTAAGAAATACCGAAAAAAGTCTCGTTAGAAGCACAAGTTTATACTACCTCGATGTACTAGTATTGAGAATAAAACTTGCACCGATATAATATAGAGTATACAAACTTCAAGTCTACATGTCCTGGATAATTATTGGATACTACGTAGTAGAATGCACTGTAAATATTGTGGAGAGCCTGTTTTGTCAGTACAGTGATGCCTCCATTATTGCAACAGGACACATTCAATATCCTCCGAGAACTAATAAATTCATTTCGAGCAG